TACACTTAAAATCTGAAGAGAAAATCTTATCTTTTAGGAGAACAAGGAAAATCTGTCAACCAGGAATCAAAGAGACCAAGGCACTGCTATCATCCTGAATCTACAGAAGGAAAACAACTGTGTTATTAGCTGCTTTAATTTTTATGGTTAGGAAGAAAACAAATGACAAATTTGAAGTATAATGGCAAACTGTCCCAAGTCAGCAGCTAAAAATTTCATTGACATCTTTTTAGCAAAAGCATCCAGCTAGTGTTTTTATTGTCTTGGGTATGGTACAGATTGTACACTGAGGAACAGTTTATCAAATATATGTCATAAACCACAGAAAAATTCAGACTGAAGAGTGTAAGTATGAGCAAAACTGGAAAATGTTACACAACCTTAACTCTTGTAACAAGTCATTGTGAGACATCCACTACAGTAAATGCTCTATCAGAGAGCAGCAGAAGCCACAGAGAACTGGGGAGCAGATTTTCAGGAAAAGATTCTATACAGCAACATGCATGTAAGTTCCAGAAAACCAACAGAATTACATTGATCAATACCTCAAAAATACTGAATTTGAAAAGCTTTAATAACTGAAATGACAAGTTGGGCTGGGCAGGGAAGGTGATTTATTCTAGTATTTGGACCAATGATAGGATTTGTCAATCACAACAGATGGCAGCACATTTTAGATTAAAAGGTATGTGAGAGATTTGATTTCCCTTGGTTTTGCTATCTCTCCCCCACCTTTTTTCAATTTTTCTTGGAATCCTTCTTCCTGCTGTTGCATTGTACTGTTCTGACCTTCATTCCAAAAGGCAAATAAATATCTGTTTCTCTTTTGGGCAGACAAACTGGAATGGGAGAAATCTATACTCTGAATTGTATGTGTTTTTTTTTAGAAATACAGCTCTTCACTCTGAAGAAAACCAATAAAAGGACTGTGTCAGCAGTGAAGGTGGCCACTAGCAAAAGTATGCTTCTCAGGAGTTTGAAAGGGTGCAAAGCTGGAATCAACATAATTTGGATGCCAGAACTGTGGCTTCTTTTGTAGAGCTTGTTCTGCTTTTGCCAGTGCACCCGCTTTGTTGGTATAACCACAGAAATATTTTGTGTGTGCCTATCGCCACTTTGGTAGCACACTCAGTGTAGACACAACCTAAGCCTGATTTTAATAACTGAGGGCAACATTTTCACTAAATGTAGCGTTTGAATCAAGACACCTATAAATAAACATAACCTGACTTTTAGAAGTTTGACTCCTGAGGTAAACAATGCTTGGAAGGACTCAGCACTTTTAAGAACTGGGCCACTTTAAATTCTGCACCAAGATGCTCATTTTCAAAAAGAAGCAAAGTGAACATTGCAGTATTCAACTTTTGGATAGGAAGTAACAAACTGAAATCAAACACTCAGTTTCTTTATACGTCAAGAAGGTGGACACTCATGGCCCTGCAGTGGAGGTGACAAGATCTGGCCACTTCAGTGGTCGAATTTGTATGCCATCAACCCATGGAGTCTAAATGGAAATTATGCCTGTCTACTTTGTTTTTCTGGGCACAGATAAACCCTGAGACAGTCACCTACATGAAGAGGCAATTATTTACTTCTTTTAATACAGCTAAGCAATTAGAGCCTTAACTTGTCCAAGTCCTGTCCTGTACTGTAGGTATTTGATTGCACTGAGCCTGGACCAGGCATCTAATCTAGCCTGCTTCTCCAGCAGCAGGTGACTCAAAACAGTCTCTCTGGCTGTATTTTTCTCTGTTAAACCACATGATCTGTCATCATAACTCACTGAGTGCCCCAATTTGCCACTTCATTCCATCTGCAAATGTACTTGACAATCATTTTCTATTTCCTTCCAGGTAACTGATAAAGCGATTGAGCAGTATTATGCCAGGAACAGATTCCTGTGAGTTGCCACTAAAAGCAACCTTTGAGATGAATATTTCCCAACTCTAATCACTTTTCAAGACATTGCTGTTAGCCTGTTTTTAATCCATTTGATAACCCTGGATTACACCGATTTTACACGCTGTGATTTCATTTTGTTTTTAACTACAGTGTCAACAAGACTAAGTAAATGTCTTAAAGCAGTCTAAGTGTGCTACTCTCAGCACAGCTATCTCTGTCAGCTTCAGTTGTGATCTTTGAAAAAACAGTATCAAGTCTGTTTGACAAGTTCTATCTATAAAAACTTGCTGGCTGGAATTAGGCATGATGTCATCTCTGAATTTTTTTGTTGGAGGTATCTAGTTTCAACCTTCCAATGATTTTTCTTGACCTACAGTTACCTGGATCATCTTGTTTAACCTTTAAAATTTCTGGCACAACATTTGCTTTTTCCAGTTCACTGGAACTCCCTTTGGTAGGCCAAGATTAGTTAAAAAGCAACAATAATGGTTTAGACAGTTCAACTCTATTAATAATCTCCTGTGAAAGTCTTCTAGTCTGATGGACAATTAAGGGGGAAATATAATTATTGAATTTCACTTCTAACTTCAATTTTAGAAGATCTGAACTTGTACTAGAATGATCTGCCAGCATTTTCATAATGAACTGTAAAGCATCCATCAATATCTTTGCTATAATGTTTCAAATTATCTCAAGTGCTTCTGTGCCTTGCAGCCACAAAACACCTGAATTATTAAAGGGACAGTTTGCTTTTTATATAGTTTTTTTCCACCATATCTATTTCCTTTTGTCATTTCTGTCTTCCTCCCACCATTTGCCTACATTTTATGGGAAAGTCTGCAAGTTTTACAGGATAGGATTAAATAACAAATAAATGAAAAAAAACCCAAAACCACAGTACTTTTGTATGGTATTGTAAGCAATCTTTATGGCTGTGTTTGATATAATTCTTAGAGATCTGAGTTCAGCCAATGTTAATAAATAATCAATGTAATAAACTTGTTTTCAGCAAACTCCTTAAACTGGAGGGGTTTGAACTTAAACTGTATTTAAATGCTAGCCCTCTACATTTGGAATGCATTATTTCTCAAGCTATTGATTAAACATCTTTCATCTGCTATTGCATCTTATGGCATTCATACTGGCAGGTGGAACATGCAAGATGCTGTATAAAAATATCTTATTACCCTACTTTATCCGCAAATACAGATAAAAAATTTCTTTGGAAAAACCAATGACACTATGGAAGAAGATTCAAATTAAATATAAGAAACTTTTAAAATAGATTAGTGGATTCTTCCTTGGTTATAGCTCTTACTTGCTGAATGGAATTACTACCAAACTGCTAGGTGTATCTACTGTAGAACGCTGCCTAGTATCTAGATTTCAGTATGCTCAGTTTGAAGCATATTGAAGTATTTCTTCAAATATTTAACCTCAATTTCTAGTCCCTTGAATGGATAAAATACAACAGAACAATGCTGTATGGCTTGCAATTAATATGAAACCCTCAGTGAACTGGCAAAAGTGATTGCTTGCTTGTGGGAGATGGATTACTTAGAAGAACTTTTCCCTAATATTTGGATGGTATCACTATTCTTGATTGACTTTGTAAAGCCTCCTTCTGAATCACAACACACTAACCCACCTACTGATCTATCAAGAGGAACAAAAAAGGCTTTTTTCTTTTTTCACATCAGGGAAAGTTAACGCTGTTACGTAGAATCGCCTACAACGCAAATATAACAGAAAGACAATTCAGGATCCTTTAGGCATCAATTATATCCATCTGTGCACTGCTCTAATGTTCAAAAGCCCCTTCCAGTGTGGTACCAAATAACTTATTTTAAAAAATAAACTTTGTCTGGATTAAATTTTAATTTTGATAGTTCCTATCTTTCTTTCATCTGATTGCATGCTAGAACTAGGCTACCTTTTTTATAAGCTCTGTTATTAGAGTGAATAATATAATCTGTGAAAATACAAATCTTCTCCGTTTCAGTGGAGATTCCTTGCATAAGGATTTGGGTTCCTGAGATTGAAATAGTGTTGGAAGTAGAAGAAACAAATCAAAACAACCTAGCTAATGAGTGCTAGTTATAATGATCAACAGATGCAGGCTAATCCAGTATCTGCTACCTGCTGGGATTCTGCTCACCTAAGACGCCTCCCAAGTCTGGAGGGCTTATTCTAAAACTCGTTTAAATCTTCTTACATGAAGATGTACTTTTCACAGACTTTTTTTGCTTGTTTCAGCATATGAAACACCAAATATCTTCCGTCAATATGACTTTTAGCAACCCAGAACATAGGGCCAATACCAAGTAAACTGGGATCCTGGCTATAAATCCTTTCTCAGTATTTCTTACCTCCCCCTATCATCTCTGCACTAACAGAACATTTCCCATTAGATGAAGAGAACTTCTACTTCTTTCATTCAAAGAGTGGAATAGAGACTATGAAAATAAAACAGACCCTAAATAAAAGTTTCAATTTTTTTTTTTTTTAACAAAAGATCAAGCTTTTCTTCTAACAGAAAATCCCTGTAAAGACATTATTTTCCAGTATGAAAACAGATAGAGGTGGAAGTGATAACAAGACAGAGCCACACTGACATTTGTGCTGTTCAGATAACATAATTACCCTAATGGAATTATGAAACATCAGTTGCTTGCACCCAAATTTCTGTTTACAGCCAATATAGAACCAATTTAGACAATTCCTCCTTAATAAGTGCTTGTCAGAACTATTCCAAGCAGCTAAGAAAAAGATATAAAATCCATGTGCTTTGTGCCTGTGCTGCCAAAAATCACTCTGGCTGAGATGATATAAGTCTAGAAAAACATTTGTTAACATAATGCTATTTATTTTCCTTGTTTTTCCCAACTGCAATGTTTCCTTTGTACCTGCGTATGTTTGCACTTTTATTATGTTCAAACCATGATTTCCAAGAAGTGTGGGTTTGTGCAAGAAATGTTTAGTCTGAATTTATCAATCCGAAGCACCCAATGCAACATTCCTAAAGTAACACCATGCAAAAAGCCAATTTTCCCATTTCATCTATGACCTGAAGTTGTGAGGAAAGGCAGGAAATTTACCCGATTCCTGGAGATAGCGATACACCAAGAAATTCACTTCGTCACTGGTTATGCTCATCTTAGCCCCACCTCAATATGATGAGGTTTACGAGAAGTGTGATCCACGCTCTGTTCAAAGGGAGAGAAAAGAACAGGTTTTGTATTATCTTGGCTTATGATAAAATTTGTTATAAAAAATAGGGGTGGGTATTCTTTAGGTATTTAAATACCTCGTAGTTATTAAAGCTGTTACATCCCAATGAGAAGCACCCATTAAATATTGTGAATACACCTGTACTACACCTTTCATTATAATTAAAGAGCAATTTAATATACATATGAGAGTGTCAGAAGGAGCACTGTAAATCTTGGAAGCCTTTTCAAATGTCAACACTTTCACTTCTGTGCTTTACCGCAGGTTCTTCGGACACTCCTTTTTACTGTGAACATTTTCTTTTCAGAACTGCTGGCAATTATTCACACATAACGCACCAAACTATAACCTTTTCGCAGCCTCAGATTTGTAATCTAGTTTTCTGTCTGGTAGTTCATCCACTGAAAAGACAGATTCTTTCCTTACAAAAGCATGAGAACTTAAAAATTTCCTCAGTGAACTTAAAGTTCCCATTAAATAGAAAGAAATCTAAATTTAAGATGAGAAAAATTTGAGATTTAAAAATTTTACTACTGGAGTGGCGGAAGGGGAAGAGAAGAAGAAACAGAGAGATTGCCATATACTTTGTGCCAACAAGGAAATCAAATATCCTGGCATTATATAAAGTTATAATGTTATAAAGTCTCTGCTGATTAACGGTAAGCAAGAATTAAACTTCAATTATTCACTTAAGTAATCGTAACCTTTAGGATGACAGTTCTGCATTACTATTTTGGGCATATACTCCGACAATAAAAACACTGGTTTTAGATGATAAATTTGTTTTGAACATTTTCCATTAAATCTTGATGATTCATTTCTCTTTGGGAACCTGACTAGTTTGGTTTTAAAAGCTGTAAGTACTTCTCAGACGTAAACTTTGCAACTTTCCCAGACTCACCATACCTGTAACTAACCACGTAAAAGGTCTGGATGCAGAAGCAACACCCTGTGCTCTCCTTGTGTACTATAAATGAAAGACTGTAGGCGTGTGCTGTTTGTTTCAATTTCCTGTATGTCTCTTCTTGGTAAGTGGGAAGGTCTTTGTTCATTGAAAACCTCTTCAGTAATTCCCGTTGCCTAAAGCAGCACCTGCTACTGCAGGCAATGCACATCGACTACAAGTTTCTCCCTGCTGAAGATTTAAACCAGCAGGTCACTCATGATGGGAACAGATGTATCCACATATTTATGTAAATGGAGGGCTTTCGAACCCTGGTAATCCTTTTATTCTCCTGGGCTGCTGTATTTCATCAATGGCTGGGATGCTGGTTTTCCATAAGAAACTACAGCTTGCTAATTTGGGAGACATCTTCCTCAAGCATTCCAGTCTTTATTATTACAGTTTGTACTTCACAGAGAGCAAGAAGAAACTGAAAATTGTGCAGTGGCAGTGAGGAAGATTTCATCTGCTTTGAAAAGGATGATCATTTTCTGCCAAGATTCTGGCTGTAACCACCATCCAGTCTTGTCACACAGGCCCCGGGAAGCCCTTTGGTGTCTTCTCTCCTTGATCCCTCATCTGTACAATGGGCTCAGATTTCCTTGCCATAGGATCAGGAGGCTGGAAGCACTGGTAGCTGTAAGGGTTTTAGTTACCAGGGTTGGTGACTGCAGGCAGTGAAAGCACCAATTTCAGTATTACTTTATATATACTTCTTCCAAATAAACAGACTTGGTTCTGAATAATTAATAAATTCCTGTGCCCCTTTTTGCATAATCATCATGATACAATGAAGAAGAAGACAGACATTCACAGCAACAGTTAAGGCCATTTTTGTCCCTATCTGAGTGCTTAAAATACATCGATATTGCTGCTATGGCCGTGATAATGATTAATCAAGAAATTCTGATAGCTGTGGGTTTAAAAAAAAAGCCTGATGTAACACTTGTAAAAGTATTTTTAAAATAGCAGTTTCAGGATTTGGTGGTAGGAAATTTGGTAAAGATGAAACCTCTTACAAAAATTCAGTTTCAGTAATGACGTACTTTGTGGCAAAATGAACTTTATTAAAAAAAAAAAAAAACAACAAAAACCCAACCTACAAAAAAAAAAAAACAACCCAACCTAAAAGCCCCTACAAACAAGAAACTAGGAATGCTGTTTCTGGATGCATCCTGCTAATTTAAGACATTAATGTGGTATTTCCCACATACAGAGGGTTACGTTGGGAAAGGGAAGAAGGAGTGCTGTTTTTTGTTTGTTTTTCTAAAGACTTTTCTTAAATGAATTTACAGCCAGAGAAATGAGAAAACAGAGAAAACCATTTTGCCTGACTGCAAAATAAATAGTCTGACATCCCGAGAAAAACCTCCACAGCAGCCACCTTCCTATCAGAATCCCAAGCACACCAAGTAGATGGATTTACAATATATTTTCCCTGAAGTCAGTCAACAGGAATTACTTTGACATATGTGTCGGATCAGATCTTTATACACATTGTTACCGTGCCATAAATAACCAGATGATCCCCACTCGTACATTTAAGGTTTCTTCCCTCCCACAGATGCCAGTGCAGCAATCAGATACACAACTGTAAAGCTTTTAGCCATCCAAAGCAATGCACAGATCTTGGCTTTGACCCAGAGATATCTATTCATTAGAAATTTGGCTGAGCTACGAAAGACTATACTCAATTTCATTAATGCCGTTTTTGATTTCCTTCTTCACAGATAAACACACCAAATAAAACAGGCTACAAAAGACATAGTGGGAAGTGAGAACATATTTATCTTCCGCGTATCTCCGAGTCTGATTCATATGGAACAAACAATTTCCCCCCCCTTCAATACAAAATTTTAATGTAGAAATGAAAAATTCTGTAGAAAATCAAAGAAATATTTAGTTATCATTGTGATAAGATTTATTTCTGCTAACTGATGATCTCCTTCTGTTACTAGAGATCTGTATTACCCAGATTAATAATTTCTTTTAAAAGAAATATTTATGGCTTATAAACAATACCCCTGTGCCACCAGAGACATTTCACATTTAAGCCACCAATAAAATTTTAATTCTTCACAATGTCAAGAGGATTTAGAGAAAGCATTCAAGCATGTGCTTGAACTTTCTTTACTTCAAACACTTTTTTTTGCACCCAATTACGCATTAGCAGGAAGTTCTATAAACTTCAAACCCACCTAAAAAAAATGGTGTTACGATCCTGCAGATATTTGTGAATATCCAAATGTGTGAGGTGAGCCCATTAAGACTTCCCAACGTATAATGGATCTCAAACGTTCAAAACCCCATCGGTGAATGGATCGTCAAGGTCATGCAAATTAAATTTAGCACTTATTTTAAATAAATATTCAGCTCTCAGCTCTGCCGGGAGAGGCTTGCTGAAATGCTTCCCATACAGAGGTAAAAAGCGGGGTTATTAGCTCAGATATGCTCCTGCTGTGCTTCTAGGGCTGCCTGGCTTTTGCTGAAGTAAGGCGTCCAGCTGGAGCTGAGCTGGCTCCAGCAAAGCTAACGCTGCAGCACACTCCGCTGTGCTCTGGGCAACCAGGGCAGCTCATTTCCTGGAGCACATCACCAGACCTGATTTGGCTCTGTGCACCAACATACCACTGTTCTCAGATTAAACCTTCCTGGAGCACTGGGAATCTTGCTAATGGGCCATGCAAGTGGCTCTGGAGAAGGCCGCCTCATATATATCTATGGTTCAGCACAGCGCTGGCCAGGTCAACTAAGGATAGTTTATTCACATCCCATCCCCTTACTCAGGGATTGCTCTAGTGTATTTTAGCACTGTTGCCATAAGTAAGGGAGATCTGGCTGAAGAACCAAGGGAAAACGACTTTTTCAACTTTGAAATAGCATCTAAAGGCACGACTCCTCTGTCTCTCTTCAAAATGTTGCTTACAGGGTCCTGCAGGGCCTTGTATGACAGAGGTTCTTTCAGGAAAGGAATTCACATTTACTACTTGAAGCAGCATTGTCATCCACAGGGACTGGGAGTTACCAGTCAATCTTCCCCTCAGGAAGGCGGAAACAGCCCAGACGTTTAGGGAAAACACCTAAACTAAAGCCTAAACCTGAAACCTAAATAGGAAGCTAGGCACTTCCCATTTTTTAATCTAGTCTGACCAACAGAATTTCATCAAATGGCTGGTCTGGCCCTTGTCTTACCTCCTGAAGAAACCTGCAAGCTCCAGCCTGCTTTAAATGAGAGCTGAGAAGTTGTCAGCTTCTTACAGGATTTTTTTTTTTTTGGTCATTATCATTAAATAAACACCCTCCTCTCAAAAAAACCCCAACCCAAATCTACAGATTTTCATTTATCTCCTGGAGGGGTTGCACTGTTTACCTACTTGTTTGACAACGCTAGACCAAAATGTCTTTTCCCAGTCAAAGTTTTAATGACAGCAACATCAACATCATTATCATTTAAATGATGAGGGGTGGGAAGAAATTGTGTTTTTGCTTTGGGGTAAAAAAGGCAAAAAAAGAGAGGTTTTATAAAAATGAGATCATGCCAGAAAGTTCAGACTTTTAATGCTACCAAACTGATGCCCTGCTGCATGCGAGCCGGAGTTCACGTACTTGTGCTCCCATTTTCTCACCCAAGATGGCTCCAGGCACCAAGGCGCGCCTCTCGGGACCCACAACAGTCTCACCACCTCAGAGAAGAGAATGTGAACACCAGAACTAAAATAGACTCTAGGAAGGCACCGTGACAGCATAGCCAAATCAATGTTTTACTGTTTTGCATATGCTCTGTAGTTTAATGAAAAACATCATTTCCCAAAGCCAGAAGCCACTTCTCACAAAACGAGTCACTTAGGCAATCTTAGTATTTTCTGCTGAAAAATACTTTCGTCAGAAACTCTAAATGAGCCCCACACTTCTTTATTTCTAGGCTGTGTCTTACCACAGAGCCAGAAGAGAGTCAGCAGCCAGCAGCTCTTCCCCAAAGGCTAACGAGCTCTGCTTGGCTCACACCATTGCATTCCTCAGTCTTGGCTTTCA